TGTCGAACTTTCTGTATCTCACGAATCGCTCCATACCATTTCAACTAATCATTTAGGTATGAAACATGTTACCGCTCGGCTAGTCCCAAAAGACCTGAATTTTCTCTAAAAACTCAATCGCATGAGAGTCGCTGAGGACATGCTAGAACGAGTCAATTCCGATCCAACATTCATGAAACGCATTGTTACTGGTGACGTGACGTGGGTTTACGAGTATGACATGCAAACTAGTCAACAAGTTTCGGAGTGGCGCCTTCCAACTGATCCGAAACCGAAAAAACCACTTGACTGTTGACTCTTTGACTATCGCGGTGTTGTGCACTCGGAATTTTTGCCGGATTTCACCAGGTATTGCTCCAGACGACTTCTTTCTTTTTCCCAAACTCAAATTACCACTTCGTGGCACCCGTCTTCAATCGGTAGAAGACATAAAGGAGAATTCACCCCAAGAACTGAACTCAATTCCGGAAACAGCGTTTAAAAAATATTTTGATGTTTGGATTATTCGTTGGCGTAAGTGTATTGTTTCTGAAGGAGCATTAAGTATCATATTACATTTAACGATTTCGTGAAGCTTACATTTAACGATTTCAGCACAAATTATATTGTCGATTGGATCCGGAGTAATACGTTTGTGAAGCCATAAAAGAATATGGATATGTGGAAGACCTCTCTTTTGCCATTCCGTTGAGTACATATTGCATCGCACCTCACCAAATATTATGCTCTTTGTCAATAAGTTCATTATCTTTTTCACCTTTAGTCGAAACACCCTCGAAATTATATCGTGTCTATCATGAGATTGTTGTCCTTGAAGAATTTGCTCTTTTATCTCGTCCCAGCGAGGATTGCATGTGAAACTGATAAAAAGATCAGGCCGGAGGTAATTCCTAACATAGATCATAACGTGCATATAATAATAATAATATTCATCATTTTTATCGTTAGGATACAATGTTAGAGAACAAATGAAATCAAAGAATAAATACAAAAAAAAAAAAAAAAAAAAAAAAAAAAAAAAAAAAAAAAAAAAAAAAAAAAAAAACTACCACTAAGCAGGTGTAATCAACAGCTGTTCATTTGCCTCATAGTCTAGGGTTTTCAGAAATAAACTTACTACAGCTTTACATTTTGTTGTGGACAGAGTCTTTGAGTAGTTGAGTAACGCATGTTGTTTCAGGACTCTGGTAATCTGTAACTAGCGAAGCATTCACTTTACATGCACGGTATTTTAATATTTAAAAAAAAAACCACTTTTAATTTTACAATTATTGTACCGACATGACAATAACAACAATCAAATGTCAAAATAAAAAAGTAGCTGAAATTCTCGGTAGATTTCATCATCGACTTTAAATTTCAAAGACTTTTGTCTGAATTGACATTCTCGTCACAGACCTTATAAATAAATTTGTACTGTCATTGCACTGCGTGTACTTAAACCATTGTCTCAGCCTCCTTTTTTTTATTATTTGGTACTGTTAATCTAATATATAAAATTCTCGTATCACGGTGTAAGAAGTTGAACTCCTCCGAAACGGCTAGACCGATTTTCATGAAATTTTGTATGAATATCGGGTAGGTCTGAGAATCAGCCAACATCTATTTTTCATACCCCTAATTTTTTTTTTGACAATTTTAAAGCTCGCTATAAAAGATGCACTTGGCGATCCGTTCATTTGGCATAAGGAACACGTGACCACACCAGCGTTATTGACGTCGCATTATATATGCTTCAATACCGCAGATCTTAGCACGTCGAAGAACTTCAGTTTTTCTGATGCGGTCCGTCCAGTGGATGTTCATGATATCCCGCAGACATCGGAGATGAAATTGGTTTAAAGTCTTTATGTGTCTGCGGTAAAGGCACCAAGTCTCTGAGCCATATAACAGGCTTGGTAGGACAATAGCTCTATAAACTGCGATTTTTGTAGCCAGTTTTAGATCGTGCGAACTGTTACATCCCTAATTTTGATGATATTGCATAGGAATGCAATACAATATTGCTGACTTGCAATAATAGCAACATGACGTAAAATTAAGATTGCAGATCAGCAATAAATACATTATAAATACCAATACTTTTCTTAAATTAGTCAGTTATTATTCTCTAGTGCTGATATAATTTGTGGTCTCTGACTACTCCTCAACCTTGGTTGGTTTTCAGCAAGGAATTCTAGAGCAATAATATACTCCGGGTCTATTCTGCCCTTCGCTGGGGCCAATAAAAACGCGTATAATCCGTGTTAAGTGGTGTTGTATAAGTTTGTGTCTATATTAAGTTGCCAAAAGTTGTGTAGAGTTATAAAATAAATAATTGTGATAGTCAGTGGTGGTTTTTTTTAAAAGTGCCGGACTGTCCAATCTAACATTTGGTGTCAGAAGTGGGATTTTTGAAGTCCCTCTGGTCGCCTACTCCTGACGACGACCTGCTCGAAACACAACCTGGCCTTAACCAGTTCCTGAACTAAGTTGGCCACCTGCTGTCTCCGCCGTCTCTCTGACGTTCCCTGAGGCCGCCGCCGACTAAGGACATCGCAGACAACGTGTCATCGAACTCCACTGTGCCCGAGGGGTCATTGCCCGGCACCGAGTTCATAATCACACGAGTACAAGACCACGACACACTTTACACCGACCCGTACCTATTGCAAAATCTGCAACGCTGCACATTGCGTCACCGCTGTGTCGCCGCTCCGATTTCCGCTGCATCCATGACATCGTTCTACATACTACCAATGTTGTGAGTGTTTGCTCGTTTATATTAATTTATTTTTTTGTCACTGACATATTTTTGCTAATTTCAGTCTCAATTTTTGCTCCCTTTTTATATAAAAATGGTTAACGAAAGTGGTAAACTTGAAAAGAAAACCGCTCAGTCGTGTTCAAGTATACAACCTACGCTTTGTATACTTGAACACGACTGAGCGGTTTTCTTGAAACAGGTTAACAGCCTTTATTAGAAACTGCGAAAACGCGTTAAACTTGGCCACCGCGTCGCAACATAACATTCTCTTTCAATATATAATTTCACAATTAGAAGGTAAAGCAGAGTCCGCCTGCTCTTTAAAAATTTTTGAAAATTGGTCTGAGTTGAAACAGTTTTTAAAATCAACTTTCGGGGAAACCAAGCATAGAGATCATTTATTATTAGACTTACAAAATTGTAAACAAAAGTCTAATGAAACGGTTACACAATATAGCCTACGATTAGAGACATATTTAACGCGATTACAAACTGACATCACACATTCTACTAGGGATCCTAGTGAATTAAAGGGCCGAATCGCCAGCACAGAAGACTTAGCACTGCATACGTTCTTGATGGGCTTACCGAGTCATATCTCTAACGTTTTAAGATGTCGCAACCCTTTACACGAGGCTATAAACCTGGCTATTCAGGAGGAAAAACTACAAAATTATATTCAGTCTACTAGACCAATTGAAAATAAACCTAGGTGTAAAACATGCGGTAAAATAGGTCATTCGGATAGAAATTGTTTCAACAATCGACAACGTCCTGTACATACTCTTAGTAACCAACCTCAAATATCCTACCAATCACAACCCTCTTCCTCTTTTAATGCGCAAAATAATACCAATTTATTCTGTAAATATTGTAAAAATCCCGGTCACGACATAACGCAATGTCGAAAGCGCCAATATAATAATTCCCGTAACAATTATTCAACTAACAAGCCACAAAGGCAAGTTAACAATGTTGTCGAACTAGCTCACTCTGAAATTCAAGATTTTAACTGTAATTCATTAGAGTCAAACACGTATGATCATTTAAACTGAATAAGATTCCGGTCCCGCGTCGTACGGAATCATCAATACAAACCGACGCTGACGCCTCTAATATCCCCTTAACTATATCTAATAAAACTTTTATGTTAAGTAATACTCGTAATAAGAACCATATTAATTTTACTAAATCTAATATCCTTACTAAATCATTTACATCTCAACCCCAGCAGTTGAGTCATAATACTAATCTTACTATTTCTACATCTCGCGTTAAAAAGCCGAGTCCTACTATTTCTACTAAATCATTTACATCTCAACCTCAGTGGTTGAGTCATAACGTTAATGGTACCAATTCTACTATTTATACATCTCCAGCTAGTAAGCGGAGTCCTACTATATCTCTAACATCTCAACCGAAGCAGTCGAGTCATAATAATAACATTAAGTCTACTATTTCTACATCTCGGGAAAAACCGAGTCTTACTATTTCTCCTATGTCTAATACATCTCAACCACAGAAGTTGAGTCTCGAAAACTATCATACTAAATCTACTATTTCTCCTAAATCCTCTACACCTCAACAATTGCAGGTGAATTATACCACGTTTCATCATAATAATAACAATCCAAATACCCTTAAAAAGTCTACTAATTATAAAACTACTAAATCCGTCAGTCCTACTAAATCTTACAATTGCTTAGAAAATCATTTCAGTACACCATTTAATTTAACAGAAAATAATAAATGTAATTCAGAAATACAATCTAATATATTTCAACTCAATTACAATAAGAAAACGCATTTGCCTCATATCTATGTCAATTAAGAAAGTGACATTGCATCTTATCTCAACAATCGAACGAAGCACGGTCATTCATATTTAAATTAAATATTTGTGTCTAAAGTCAGTGATTGTGGCGAACTTTGTGCGAAATATACTGTTAAAAGTGTGTACTTTCGAACTGGATATTGGGTGAGCCATTATATAGTGCTAATCAACATCTTTTTGCTTTTTTAGACTTGATATCGAAACTTTTACACCGTCAATAAGTGATAATAAAGTGCGATTCGTAGAAACGCGTAAGTACCGCGTATTGCACGGCGCTTCGGACGTTTTGGTCGCGAGGTTGGCGCGTAGCGACACAGTGGACTTGTACGGAGTATTTCAAACATAATATTTTAAAAGTAATACTATAACGATTAGTTTACCGTTTGTATTATAAATCGGGCTTCTCTTAGGCTTAAAGATATGTCACTATCTACACTGAAATGGGGTTGCTGTACTAACGAGGAGGCCGAGGAGCATGAACAGCTTATCAACTGTATTCGATGCAATAAGTCGTATCATTTCCTTTGCCTGTCTTTACCGGAGATTCCAGCTGACTCCGATGTTTATCGCCAATGGAAGTGCCCAGTATGTATGATTCTAACCTCAAAAACTAGAACAAAAGATTGTACACCTGTCCGTAACACGAGTGTCTCAACCACGCGAGGTAGCAAAAGACAGGCACTAAACTCACCTCCTGAGTCCTCCGCTGTCACAGCTGAGGATGTCCGCTCGATCGAGCAGAGCGTCATTGAGACTGAGTTTGCTACATTACTTAAACAGCTCAATAACACTTTAGTTAGCACGCTTAACAAAGAGCTAGAACCGCTTAAAACCGATATAGAAGAATTGAAAACATCGTTTACATTTCATACAAAAGAATTTGATGAACTTAAATCGGAACATGTCATAGTGAAAAGCAACATAATTAATTTAAAAGAGGAAAATCAGCAGTTAAATAATACAGTCTCGGAGTTACGTCAAAAATTGAATTATTTAGAGCAACACGCGCGGTCGAACAACTTGGAGATACAATGTTTGCCTGAGAATGCAAAAGAAAACCTATACACTGTAGTCAAACAATTGGGTTCTGTGGTTGGATGCGAGTTAAAGGATGGCGACATTCTGCACGCCACTCGTACAGCTAAACTCAACAAAAGCATTGCTCGCCCGCGGTCTGTTGTCGTTCAGCTTGCTTCACCAAGAACGCGTGACCAAGTTCTGGCCGCTGTTATTGAACATAACAAAAAACATAAAGCGAATAAACTTAGCACTTCTGATTTTGGATTCGCTGGCAGCAAATCACCGGTGTATATCGTTGAACATTTATCGCCTGCCAATAAAGCGCTTCATGCCGTAACGAGACTTAAGGCAAGAGAAAAGGGGTATAAGTACGTTTGGGTAAGAAGCGGCAGGATTTTTGTCAAAAAGGACGACAACTCGGACAATATACATGTGAAAAATCTAGACTTTTTGAACAGTATTCTGTAAAGTAATTTTTTTTTTGTTTTCTACATTCCAGCTTGATATATTAACTTCTTTTCATTAAAATTCCATAACTTGCAAATTTACTACCAGAATAGTCGTGGGCTCAGAACAAAAACCCACACAGTTTATCGCAATATTTCTTGTAATAATTATGACATAATCATTTTAACGGAGACCTGGTTAAATGATTCTGTGTTAAGCGGCGAATTGTTCGATAGTAGGTATGTCGTGTATAGAAGGGACAGAAATACATCTGCCCTACATAGTACTAAGGAGGGTGGTGGAGTTTTGATTGCAGTAAAAAATACTATTAAGTCTAGGCATATTAAAGAATGGGAAAGTGATTGTGAAGACATGTGGGTGGTCATAGATATGCCCGGAGGGCATGCAGTACGTCAATTTGTTTTCTGTGCTGTATACTTACCACCACCTGCACGCCGGCCCTCTTTAGATATGTTTATTGATCATTGTAACGCGGCATTTGAACTAATGGCAGACGCTGAAGTTTGTATTGTGGGTGACTTCAATATAAGTAGTATTGATTGGAATTCAGTTAATACAACCAGCAATAAAGCATTATCCGGCTTAGGTGAAATCTTGGTAGATTTTATAAATATTAATAGGCTGGAGCAATTCAATTTTGTAACGAATTCTGCGGGTAGGATATTGGATCTTGTCTTGTGTACCTTATCATCATGTAATGTAAACAAGTGTTTAAACCCTTTAAGTAAAGTGGACATGCAGCACCCACCGTTGGATATTTTGATCACTCTAGCTAAGAGAGCTACGCTTCCTTATAATACTGTTAATACAAAGCTTAACTTTTATAAAGGTGATTATACATCAATTTGTAAATTCTTGCATGAACAAGACTGGGACCGATTGTTCGGCGGACTGAGCGGTGTGAATGAGATGCTTGAGGTCTTCTATAATATTATTAATTATGTTATAAAAAAGTACATACCCTCCCGCGTCCCAAAACGTAATAATTATCCCCCATGGTTTAGTAGAAGATTAATAAAAATGTTAAACCAAAAATATAAGCTCAGGCAACGATATAAAAAATATAACAACCCCATAGACGCAATAGAATTAAAATATATCGGCAAACATTGCGATCAGCTAGCAAAGGAATGTTACAGTAGCTATGTTAAATTTATTGAAACAGAACTTATAAAAAATCCGAAGCTATTTTGGACATATGTGAAAGCTAAAAGAGGAGGGACAAGCACGTATCCTAGGTCGATGACAGACGGAATAAGAATGTCAGCAGATGGTACTGAGATATGCGAGCTATTTGCAGATCACTTTATCTCCGTCTATAATCAAGAAAAGAGTATCAGCAACGATCATAACTCATTTACAATCTTTGGAAAAAAATAGTATTAGTTTACACAGTAATCACATAAATTACAAAACTTTATTGACAAAATTAAAGAATATAGATACCAATAAAGGACCTGGGTCTGACGGAATACCACCTATCTTCATTTCCTCTTGTTCCACTGAGCTGGTACGCCCACTTATGCTCATTTATAATAAATCTTTATCCACCGGCGTATTCCCTATGAAATGGAAAATAGCAAAAGTAGTTCCTATATATAAATCAGATAATATAGAAAATGTTGCTAACTATAGACCTATCTCAATTCTGTCGTCATTTGCCAAAATTTTCGAATCGTTAATATGTGTAGACGTTCAGAACCACTTAAAGCTGTATCTGAGTGATCATCAGCACGGATTTGTTGGCCTTAGATCCACAAGCACAAATTTAGTTTCTTTTGCCGAATTACTGTTTAAAACGATAGACGCAGGTCATCAGGCAGACGTCATATACACGGACTTCAGCAAAGCCTTTGATAAAGTGCCTCATACAATTTTAATTTCCAAATTACGAGCTTACGGCATTTCTGGCACCTTGCTTAAGTGGGTGACGTCTTACTTGCAAGATAGGTATTTTTTCGTGGTCGTGAACGGTTATCAATCCACTCCAAAACACATTCGTTCTGGGGTACCGCAGGGCTCGCATTTGGGTCCAATTTTATTCAATTTCTTCATTAACGATATCCCGGATTGCTTCCAGTACTCTGAAGTGTTCATGTATGCGGATGATTTGAAGTTCGTGAAGAGAATTGAATCAAATGAAGATACTGAACGTCTACAGAATGATCTAGATAGACTAATACTGTGGTGCAAGAAAAATAATATGCATTTAAATTTTAATAAATGTTATCATGTTAAGTTTACACGTAAGCAAAATTATATACACTCAAAATACTGTACACCTAATTGCGAAATTAAAGAAGTGGATACGATTCGGGATCTAGGAGTCCTATTTGATAATAAGTTAACCTTCAAGCCCCACTTAGAAAATACTAGTAAAAAGGCTTCAAAAATGTTGGGATTTGTTTTAAGACAATGCAAATTTCTTCGCAACAATAAAACTAAAATTCTACTTTATAACAGCTTGATCCGTAACATATTAGAGTACTGTAGCGTAGTCTGGAGACCCCATTATGCAGTCCACTCCTTACGCCTTGAACGTATCCAAAAACGATTTCTGTGGCATCTTGCTTTCTCGAATGGTATTTCCAAAACTAAGCGCTCCTACGATAGCAGACTTTCACACTTTGGCATGATTTCGCTTGAAAAACGTAGAAGCCTAAATGACATGTTGTTTGCCTTTAAAATTCTCAACCAGAAAATAGACAGTCCACAGTTACTGGCTCTGTTCAAGTTTCGTGTACCTGCTAGGCTTCCGCGTGTCTCCATCACACCACTTTGTCCGCCCCTCAGAAGGACAGTTCTTGGCGCCAATTCGCCGTATGCAAGAATGGCTAAGACAATAAATAGTTTTAGTGATGTTTTAGACATACACTATGGATCAATTTCCAAAGTAAAGTCACTTGTTTGTTTACCGGATATTGGTCAACAATAATTTAATTTAATTTAATGTAAACTGCATGTATATAGTTAAGATTAATGTTTGAGTCTATGATTTTTATCTTCAATGTATGTATAATTTTTACAAAAGCGGTGTTTACCTATAAGTAATTGTTACATTGTTAATTGTTTTTCTTTAGTATGCCTATTTTACAAGTTTTGATGTAAACAATTGTTGGTAAACCTTAATAAAAAAAAATAAAAAAAAAAAAAAAAAAAAAAGACGAAATATACAAACAAATTACTAGTTCTATTAATCGATTCCGGTGCAGGAATCTCTCTAATAAAAGGGAGTTCTTTACAAGTTCAACCCAAATTAACACCTGAAAGTATCCAGTTTAAAGGCATTGATAAAGACGCCGAATATTTTAAGAGCTTGGGACATTTTCAGTTAGATTTTATATTTCAGAATAATAAAACTGTTTTCGGTCAATTTCACGTCATATCAGACTGTGTAGATATCGAATTTGATGGTATAATTGGTAATGACTACCTAAAATCTCATAATGCTAATATCGATGATAAACATAACGTCTTAGATATACATGGTAACTTAATACGAATTTATTTCACTAAACCCGAATATATCATTCCATCGCGCTCGGAAATGCTTATAGAATGTAATGTACTAAATCCTGAAGTAATCACGGGTTACGTCGATAAGTCTGAAATTCAGAAAGGTGTATTTATGTCTAGTTGTCTCGTTACTCTTAAAGGAAATAATCATGTCACTGTTTCAGTCCTCAACACTACTAATAAGGAAGTAACAGTAAAATCCCTTTGTGCAGAACTAATTCCCTGTGATTTGATAGAAGAATTTTCGTATAAAATTAATTCTATTAATCATTCTAATTCCAAAGTATTGGTGTCAAACAGATCTCACGAAGTTCTGAAACTGATACGGACTTCCCACCTTAACCCTGAAGAATCAACGGCTTTACTTGACTTATGCTCAGAATACTCAGATCTGTTCCACTTAGAAAGAGATACTCTTACTTGTACAAATACCTTAGAACATAAAATCAAAACAACTAGTTCACAGCCTATTCATGTCAAAACATATAGATATCCCGAATGTCATAAAGAAGAAGTCAACAAACAAATAAAGAAAATGCTAGATCAAAACATAATAAAACCCTCTGATTCCCCCTGGTCTTCTCCTATTTGGGTGGTACCAAAGAAGCAAGATGCTTCTGGCCAAAAGAAATGGCGAATTGTCGTAGACTATAGAAAACTGAATGACATTACTGTCGGAGACGCTTATCCTATTCCTAATATTACCGAGATCCTAGATCAATTAGGTCATAGTAAGTACTTCAGTACGTTAGACCTGGTGTCAGGTTTCCACCAGATTGGTATGAGCACAGAAGATGCTCCCAAAACTGCTTTTTCGGTCCCTAATGGCCACTTCGAATATACTCGAATGCCTTTTGGGTTAAAAAATGCACCTGCCACTTTTCAAAGATTGATGAATACCGTGCTTTCCGGTCTCCAAGGTCTCCACTGCTTCATATATTTGGATGACGTCATCTGCTATTCTCACTCACTCTCTTCTCACATAGATAAACTTAAACTCATATTCGAGGCCCTTAGAAAGCATAATCTTAAGTTACAGCCAGATAAGTGTGAGTTCCTAAGACGGGAAGTCGCATATTTAGGTCATACTATTACCGATAAAGGCGTATCTCCTAACCCCGACAAGATAAAAGCCGTATCAAACTATCCTACTCCCAGAAACCCGAAGGAAATAAAATCCTTCCTTGGCCTGATAGGATATTATAGAAGAT